CTTTGGACGAGTGGTCGGAAAGACGCCCTTTTGATACTGGAGGTTCGCGGGCGATAGTTCGGTTCAGGCGATGAGTTTTTTGTTTTTTTTTTTCAATTGAGATCTGTTGCTTTTTTTGGGGAGAGAGATGAAGATGGATATTTGGAGATTCTGAGAGAGAGATGAAAATTTGGAGTTCTTCTGAAGTTTTTCTCGAGATTTGGAGAGAGAGAGATGGAGATTTTTAGTTCTTTTTTTTAGGTGGTTGAGTGTAAATATGGAGAGTAAATCTCATTTCCCGAAGATCATGCAAGTGTAAGAGATGAATGCAAAATAATAAAGTATGTAATTAATTGCATTTAACGGTTAATTAGCCAACTTAACCGCACTAAATATCAATTTAATTATTGACAATCGTAATTTTGATTAAAAATTTATGAGATCGTATTACTGTTATTATTTTATGTATGGAGTGTAAATTGTGTAAATTTCTCGAAAGATATCAAGCCCAATATAGGCAACCAAACTGAGCCATGGGGAAGATTTATATATATAGTTATAGTTATTATATTAATTTTAGATAAACATTATTTTTTATTTTATAATTATTCTACATCTCATGTTTAAAAATTCATTTTTGTTTATTTTATTTCAAGAAAAAAAATACATAAAAGAAATTATATGGGCAATCACCAAACTTGAGCCCAACTGTAGACCCTCCATGAAAATCACCCAACTCACCAATTGCAAATAACAAATAGGATATAATTTTTTTAATTCAAATTATAGAATCCAAAATTTCCTAGAATTTAATTTCCTACTTTTGCCAAACTACAAATATCCTAATAGCCGTTTAATTTCTTATTTAATTTCCTACTTTTAATTTAAATTAATAACAACTACTTTGATTTAAATTACACGACGCGAACTACAAAACACAGGATTCAATAACTTGATTTAAATTACACGACCCAAATTACAAAATTGAATTCAAATAGCATATCTAATTTAATTTCTTATACTTATTTCGAGTTTTTCTTTTGTTAACAATTTACTAAATTTCCTAAATTGTGTTTTGAAATGGATAATATTAGACATCATAAAAAATAAAAAATTAGAGAATAATATAAGAATATATGAGAGTAAGTAAAGTTAATTTTATATAGAAGTTCGAAGAATAAACTAATGAATTTATTTAAAAGTTAAGTGAGAATGAGATCGGCATTCTAAAATTGTCTTGAATAGTGGTTCTATAAGTAGTTAAAGGAAACATAGAAATGTTGAGGGTGAAAAAAAATATAAAATTAAAAAAAAAATGTATAACTTTTAAGTATCTCCTAAATATTTTAGGGAGACCTCCAAATGAAATGCAAAAGTAAAAATATTATCAAACAACTGCAGGTTGTTAAAACCCCTCAATGATTTTGTATGTAAGAATCCAACCCACGCCTTCCTCAAAGAAAGCAAATAAGTTAAGAAGATGCTACAAGCCCCGACGGAATGGTTCCGTAATGGGACCTTAGCATTTCCCAATTACCTAAGAAAAAAAAAATAAGGAAAATCTCTGCATACAACACCAACGTCGAGTCCAAAGCAAGAGGTTCCCGTTCCAGTAACACTGCAGTATAACGAAAAGAAAGAAAGAGATTGAAAAAAAAAGAGGTTTACACAGATTATTAATCTATGCATTCAAGAGCCGGTAGGGATCGAACTGCCTCACGCTGGCCGGAAATTCAGTTCTTGGCCCAGCAAGCTAATAATATGCCATGAATCATGGGCCATGATGATTGTCGGGTGCTCTACCATAACCTGCCCGTCTTGCACATAAACCTGCCTCGCCGGATATCAGGTCTATATTCCAATGCAGCCTCACCATAGTCAGCAGGTTCTGCTCGTCCACCGACGCCCAGTAGCCCTGCACCTACAGGCAACCCGTCACCTCCAGCTTCTGCAGGCTTGGGCAAATTTGCTTTTCAATAATATAATCTATATCTATATAAAAAGAATTACTATTTACTAAAAATAGTAATCCAAAAATTTAAGAACATTTATTACATACTATTTTAAGATTCTTTAAAAAAAAAATTATTTAGAAATTAATTTGGATCTTATCCAAATTATTTAGGAAAGAAGTGCATTTCATACATGAATCCCTATAAATTAGGGATCTTTAATAAGTGACGGATAAATCATTAGTAAATCTATTTTTTTGGATTTATAATAAATCTTTTAAAGATCTATATCTATATATATTTATATATATATATAAAGAGAATTATCATTTTTTAAAAATGGCAAGTCAAACTGTGGTCAAATATGGTTGAGCATTAATTGCATGCTATTAATAGCAAATTTTTATTTTATTTTTTATTTACAAATGTACATCATTAATTATTGCATTTAAATGTGAAGTTTGTTAAGTGGAGTTTGTTATTTATTTTTGCATAAGATTAGGTTGTTCCTTTTTCATTTTCACAAATTAAAAAAAAAAAACTTTCTTTAACATATAATCGTGTACCACATTACAAATTTTATTTTATTAAAAAATAAATTACACCTAATTTAATAATATAAACTTACGTTAGTATTTACAAAAAATCAAGAACTCTTTTAACATCAACTCGGCTACTACAATTGTTTTAACTGTATGCTTTTATTTATTTTTTAAATAAATTACAATTCATTTATTTGGCGGATTTGGTTCATTAAATAAATTACAGTTCATGTAAACCTCTAAAAGATAAATTGGTGGATTTTGTTCCATTAAGTTCTAAAAATTTCGATCATTGAATATAATTTGAAATTCAAAATCCTTTCTCATATTTGATTTAAAATATTCAATTGTGTTTTTTATTCCAACAATCAGATTGCCGAAAAAAATTACCTTAAAACTTGAATTGAAAAAATTTGAAATCCAAAATCCTTTTTCATTTTAGTCGGCATAAAATTGAGCTTAATTCAAAATCTCAAATTGAATTTAAGAATATCTAATCACATGCTTCTATCCTTGGACGCTAACATTAAATGAATAATTTTTCGCAACTTTAAAATTAACAAACCACTTGGAAATTACAATTATAATGAATTTCATTTTTTTAGGTTTCAATTTGCACGAAATTCAAAATAGTTTAAGAATTTCAAGCCAATCGAAATTCATCTCTTTAATTTTTTTTTCATAAGTTTCAAAATTTTACAATAACTAAGTCAAATTACAAATGTATTGTTTCAAAAATCAAGATGATAATTTTGAAAATAGACATTTTTTTTTCAAAATTGTCTTAGTCTCCATTCAATATAAAATAAATTTCATATTATTTGTAATATTGATAAATCTGCATAAAGCGTGGAATTTTATGCGTACAAAATTTTCTTTTACAGTAACTAAAAAATAATTATTATTTTGAAATCTTCTGTACTCAAATTACTTAAAAGAACAATAATAATAATATTTACAGTAACTAAATAATAATAATAATAATGTTGAAATCTTCTGTACTCAAATTACTTAGAATAATAATAATAATAATAATTTTGAAATCTTTTGTACTCAAATTACTCAAAAGAATAATAATAATTTTGAAATCTTTCTTGCTCTTTTAAAAGAAGATGAATAGTGGTTCCCCACTTCTTTAATTGGGTGACTCGAACTCGATACTTATTTATAATTATTATTTAATATTGTCTACCCGTGCATCGCACGGGATACGCACTAGTACTCTCAAACTCACATATTAATAATATTAGATCAAGATTATTGGATCGTCAAAATCCATCAGACAATATTTTATTATTGAATCGTATACAAAACTTCATCAGTTATTATTGAATGGTTAGTAAGATTAAGACTTTCTAAGATTTTATGACATTTCAAATACAAATTACATATGCCAAATCTCATCACCAAATCACACATTAAGATTTATAAGGATTTTACTAAAATCCACAAATACTTAAAAGTTTTGGATCCTAAAAAGTCTTTAATATCACTCTTTAACATGTCTGTCGAAGTCCGAAACGAATACACCCCGAAATTTCACTAACAATATCAAATGTAATTAACAAACAAAACTTAAAGTAACGAATTCGACTAAATTTAAAATTAATGTGTACAAAAAAAATTGTGTAATATAAAAATTAAATATTTCCCTCTCCTTAACTATCTGTTTCCAAAACCGGACTGGAGCATGATTTACTTGGTTAAAGATATATGATTACGGCTCAATATGTTCTGAAGGACCTATACTGCTCAGTGAGAAATTAAAGACAGCAGATCTAATAGCAGGTCAATCATACTTGACACGATAAAAAAATCCATCTCTTTTTTCCTTCACTTCGCTTCTAAATGTTTGTTCCTTTCAGTCTTCGTATCCTCTCTTTGAACATTGGATGAGTTAGATGACTTACTTGATCCTCGCCACCTTCTTCTTACGTTTCAGCATCATTTGTCCTTGTCAGAAAGCACGTTCCTCGCGTAGAAGCCCGAACTCTTGGACGAAGGTCACCTCGACTCAAGCATTGGATTAGTTTCACAGGTTCGTTACGGAAGGCTCGATATAATTGACCTTCTGAAGCCAACCCAACGAACGAAGCGAAGCGCAGTGAAGTCATAGAAAAACCGGTGTAATTGACCTGCCCAAAAAGTGTCTGTTTGCGATCGTGGCCGGGCGATGATTGACGGTTAGAGCCTTGGAGGCTCACACACCAGGAGAAGACATTTTCTTTATATACCTATCCCAGTAGGTTCTCCCTGTATATATTAGAAGATTTCTTGTACATTACCATGATAGTTGACGGGCACACATTGAGGCACATTAATCGAACTCCGGCCCATGAGATGCTCTAGTCGAAGCTCTTACTGTCAATTTATCCAAAAGATTTGGAAAAGAACAAATAGATAGAGAATGAGTGAGGTACCATAGTCTCCACATGAAAGGCATTTATCTGCGTGGTACATCCTTAATACACGTCATTGGATCTGAAAGAAGCTCGCGAGTGACTGACATCAAGCCCTTATTGGACCATCATCTAACAATGGCAGCTTCAAGCAGCCTCACCTGAAAACATTTTGTTCCATAAAAAATACACAAAAATATAATAAGCTGTAATTTAGTAAGCAGAGTAGATGCCCATTTGGGATGTCAAGAAAATCCGACATATGAATCTAGCGTCCAAATTTAAGTTTTCTATTTTCCGAAATCCCATCTATCAATTGTACTATTTGTACATCCACGAATAAGAAAAAATTAAGATACAACGGATAATACACATGAACCTTCATTTTCTTGAAAAACAAAATAAAAAACCCAGAAAACGAGTGGAAGTTTCAAAGAAGTTAAGTTGGAAGACAAACACACTGGAACAGCAAACAAGAGAACAGAAAAAGAGAAGAAGCTATTTTGAAATATCCGTCTCACCTCATTTGAGGTCAGCAAAAGGGTATCAGTTGGTCAAACACCTAGCAGAACAAAATCTTAATGCTTAGAACTAATTCATGAATCCTGTGCAAAAACTTAATCTGGCCTGCTCTCATAGATACTTGCATGACCAAATTTGGTCCTTGTTTTAATAGTAGCCTTATAAGATGAATAAAAATATAAAAGCAGCTGATATTTCTGCCTTTTCGCAAAATCCATTTTCCGCACACACAATGTCACAGAACGGAATTAGAGAGTGCATTTTAGGTGGGGCCTGTTTCATACGCACATTGTTTTGAATTAGAAACTTTCCCATTACGATTGTTCAAGGCATTTAATTACTCACTATCTTCACCACCTCTGTAACATTCACCCTCTTATGCATGCATTTAATTGGACAAATGAAGAATAGAAGAGGGAGAGGCCTTAAGGTTAGCCAAATGAACCTTCTCGGCATAAGTAGACCATCATATATGAAAGCCTTGTCGTATATCGTCATTTCAAGGGACATCAAACACAGCGCAATTTGGAAGTTTCATTTTGAAAGGTCTACCTTGATATTAATCCTTTTCAGGGGTTTGAAGTTATATTAGGGACTCAACTGATATACTCCTTCCCAAAGTGATAAAATAAAATTCAGAAATCTCATTTTAAACATGAAAAGCATCTAGCAACAACAATGCAACTATAACGATTTCAAGGTTGCTTGCAGATACTCCAAATTCCTTATTCCTAGGTTCAGCCTGTAACCAAATGCGATGATGTACTAACATTTCAATCATATTTCCCAGAGCCGTTCTGCCAGTTACCAAATGATTACCACATTAAGATCCATTCATGACTTTACATGTTTAACGTCATTCTTTTGAAATAATTAGAGTTTCCCACGCAGCAATAACAAGAAAATAAAACAAAATGACCTACCTGCCTGACAATCAGATGCTCCTCTATAAGACTCAATGGTTGAGTGAGTATTGTGAAAAATCCATTTCTGTTACCATAAACAATATCCGTGAAGGACCTATCACCCACCTAACATATGCATAACCAAAATGCAATGAGATGACACATCCTACCTCTCATAGATAAATGAAAAAACTGTGAGGAAAACCATACAAAACCGTCACTACGTAGGATCTCACCATAATAAGCCTCGAGGATTTGCACCCGAAGTGTCTTTCGATTTCTTCAGCTGTTCCAGCTGGTTTCTTCACCCCTATATTCAGTTCAATAATTCAATGAACAAGAGCAACCAACTTATTATTGATACAACAAAAATCATGTGCTCATCTGCATGCTCGAATCACGATCAACAGATTTTGTATAAAAAATGAAAGATTTTCAACAGCAGAAGAAAAACTCACTGTGCCGTACAACTTTGATCCCAATTGCATCCTCAAGAGCTCCAGCTTTTCTACCATCCGGGCCGTATTCATACAATCCATTTTTTTTTTTTTTAACAAGATAAGCAACGTCAACGCAGAACAAACACAAAAACACACATCTAAAAGAGAAAGAAAGTTCAACATCAAACCCCACAAAAGGTATTGCCTTAAAATTACCAGCAGAGTTACTGAACACAGCAACATTATTCCCAAACAACGATTTACACTGATGCACAGACAGAGCAAGGGGCGCCCAAATGCTCAAAGAGTAAGGCGCAGTAATAGTGTTATCCTTATCAAACACAACACCCACAAATCCCATGTTCTTCAGCTCGGACCAATCAACATGTCTAATGTCCGGCACAGAAACATGATGGATCGCCAAACGAACAAGCGATGCCCTCCAAATTAATCCTCTGCCCAACGGCGGCTTTCAGATCAGACCACCACATGCTCGACGAAATTCCCGGTGAGTTATCTACCTCAAATCATGGCAAACTTTCGCATTCTCCGGATTGATTTTCACTGGAAGAGCAAAAGTCCTGCGAGAATTCGCTTATATCCTGAGCTGGGTCGCCGTGATTTTGCTTTTGCTGCAACTTTGCACGGGCGCGAGGGTGAGGAGGCTATGATGCGTCGTGAGGCTTGCGGGGTTTGGAGACGAGCGTAAGCTTGGTGGGGAGATGAAAATGGAGAATGCGGGGTGCGAGATTTTCAGGGATAGGGCAATAGGAGCAAGATTGCCATGGAGCTAAGCTATCATATTCAAATCAACACGCACTGAAGCTCTATTACGGCAGAATTTGAGGTCAAAATCCAAACTGTGGACATCTCTGAAGCCTGTGGACTCCATTGGGCTGAATCCGCATCCGAAGCTTCCACATTTACGGTTGCAATACATATGAATAAGATCAATAATAATAATGCAGGTAGGGCTGTTTTTCGAATCGAAACGTTCGTGAATAAAGCTCGTTCGTGTTCGATAACAGCTCGTTTATTTAGCATTCAAACCGAACGCAAACATGAAATTACGCTCGTTTAGTATCGAGTGTTCGTTCGATACTAAACTACGTTCGCGAACAAAAAAATATTTTATAATTTTATATATTATATATAGTATATACATGTATAATATAATATATAAATATGAATATATGTTAAATATTAAATAAAATTAAATTATTTTATAATTGTATGTATTATATATAGTATATACATATATATAAATATGAATATATTTAAATATTAAATAAAATAACTTGTATGCCATTAAAATAAAAAAAAAAAAGTTAAAAGTACGAGCACGAACATGTCGAACATTTCAAACACGAACTTGTCGATCAATTCGAACAGTTCACGAACAAGTTCGACTAGGTAAACGACGAACATGAATATGTCGAACCAATAACCAACGAACACGAAAGAAATTTTTCGTTCGTTTACTAAACGAACGAACACGAACATGTTCGAAAATTAGCCGAACTCGAGCTTGAACACCTTAAGCTCGATTCCGTTCGATTCGGTAACAGCCCTAAATGAGCTCACGGATTATTTACGGTTGCAATATATACCATTATATTATATATTATATAAGTTTTAATAGAGTTTTTGTGAGTTCCAGATTTCTCTTCCATTCACCATAAACAGTGATGGTTTGATGGCTTTCGAACTAGTTCTCACATACAGTGTCGATGGTGTGCAAACGACCTTGACCGGGTGGAACCACCTTGGATTTGCTCACGTCCGGATCAAAGACCTGCAAAATGAGTTGGGTGTTCGGTGTTCCTGGCGTTAGCACTTTGATGGTCAAGTCATTCCACAGTAATGAAGACGATGAACAATAGATATATAAACTTGTAAGTAAATTATAGTGTGCATGGACATACCTATCTTATATAGGAATGTTACCATATTGGTCAAGACTGTCTGGATGGGCTGCCCAAGTGCCCAAACTGCCCGTTCGCACTGCCTGAGTCTCCGAACTACCCAATTTTGTTAGGCCACGTGATCCAATGCACTTGTGGTTCTTATCTAATTATTCAATCTTATCCATTAATCTACCCTATTTTAGTCTGGTTCTCTCGAGCTAGATTGCTTTCTCGTTGTGCTCGTGCACATTATCTCATAGGTCGATATGTTGACTTGCATACCTCTGGGTTGAGTTTCTACCAGACCATCCCAGGGCCTTAGCTTGACTTGGCGGCGAACCCATGTAAATTGTAATTTGATTTGTGTAATGGAACTTCTAGACAAGAGTGCGAGGAACTAGAATGTGTATGTGGTAAGAGAGTATTTCAGTGATGAAGACAAACAGATTAATACTTTGAACTCAGATATGAAAGACAAACGGATCTAGAGCCTCGGTAGTAAGGGCAAGTTTTACTTCCAACATCATATGCCAAGCTTGTTGTAAAAAAGGCTAACCACATGGACATAGCATATATAAGAGAGTACTACAACAAAGAAAGACACACAAGCACGACAAAGAACTTGGAGAAAGAGTGTGAAAGACAAGATCAAGCTCTTGATTTGGAAGTGCTTCTTTGGGGTGTTGCTAGTGAACGTAAATGTCAGAAGCAAAAGGATATAAAGTGGATTTGATCTGCAAAGGTTGTGGGGAGGCAGAAGAGTCAGTGGAGCAAATTTTTCCAAAGTGTGGTAGAGCCAAGAGAGTTTGGTCCGATGAATTAGAAAGGCATTCAGTTGACAACTGTTTGTTAAGGAATGGTGGTGGCAGGTGTGTGCGGTGGATCAGAAGGAGACCTCTATACCGTCAAAATGGCAGTCCAGGAGTGGAGGGAATTCAATTCAATGAAGAAGGTAACTAGGGATGCTATAAGGTGAAGGAGTTAAACTAGGTATTCGGTTAGTGGCTCTCCCTTCATTCTTTAGTTTTGGTCTCATAAGTTTGATGTATTGTTGTAACTGAAGAGCTAAATTTGCAACACCTTTAGTTATGGTTCGAGTAGGTTGGTATTGTTTTAGGCTACATGTGTGGGGTTCCCCCATTTCATCCGACATGTATTAATGAGGGCTATACTCGGTTTGTATTAGTACATTGTATTTTTTTCTTTAACTTTATGAGATTCTCTTATCATCGTTGGAATAAAAAAAATAATTTGAAATTCATATATAGAATTTACACCATTTTTATCTTTATAGTTTTGACGTGACAAACGGAAGTTAATACCTACAAGTCCACGAAAAAGCCATATAAATTGAAATCAAACCTCTTTACTTCATTTTCAATGTCACGACAAATGTTGGTAAAACTTCAAAAACATTAAACGCAATTTCAAGTCACCTATAATTAAGCATTTCTTTTGACAAAATTATCATGCATCAAAGCGCATGCTCTTTGGGAGGACACAAAAAATTCAATAGGCATAATCATAGTACTGTGACAAAATAAAATTAACAATTTAAAAAAGATATTTTTTTTTTTTATTTTTATTTTTCCACCTCAAATGTTGGTGTTTTTGGTTATAAAAGTTGCTAGGAGCTGGGATCTAAAATTAATATTTTTTTTTAATATGGACAATTAAATATAAAGATTATCTGAAATATAATATATTAGTAACTAATTGTATTAAATTTTATATAATTACTATTTTATAGTTAAAGTTTTTTATTTTAGTTGTAAACCTCACCTTTTGTAAGCGATCAAAATTATTAGAAGGTAAATTTAGTACGTGAAATTAATTCGGGGAGTTACCAAAAAAAAAAAAAAATCTCTAATTTTGTTCATACTGATTAAGTTGCACAAAAAAAATAATAAGAATATTATTAGCTATCTTGATTTATTTTAAATGGAACTCAAAAATCAACACGT